TGGCGGGAGTCCGCCCCCCTAAAGTAAAAATCTCCAAAAAAAAAAAAAAAAAAAAAAAAAAGAAGACTGGAGCTTGGATGGGATGTATTGTCACACCCACCATATTTGTTTGACTTTGTGCAGTCAGACTTCCACTTGTTTTACTCTTTTCAAAACTCCTTGCGTGGTAAAATGTTTAATTCAGATGAGGTTGTAAATCAGCACCTTGTTCAGTTTTTTGCTGATAACAACAGGTCCTTCTATGAATGAAGGATTATGAAGCTCAGTGAAAGATGGCAAAGGTTATCAAACAAAACAGGCAATATATCACTGATCAATTTTTTTTCTTTATATAAATAAATGACCTTTGAAAAACGTAGAAAAAATATATCATGACTTTTCTGACAACCCAAAAATTCCACTAGAGTATTTTTTATATACATAAAAATCTTACCTGGTTATTTGTGTTTTTTTCTTTACTAAGTAACTTTCTAGACTATCAGCATTATGTACTTAGTTTATGTGTGTGTACATATGTATATAGTTATAAATATGTACCTATATATTTATATGTATATAAATGATACATATATTATATAATTATATATTGTATGTATACATGTACATATTTATAACTATGTACATACATACACACACACACACACACACACACACACACACACAGTTACAAATAATGACCTAGGAATAGAAGAAATAAATGTTGTAAAACCTTTATAGCTATTGAAACTAGGTGATGAGTATGTAGTAGTTAAAGTAGAATTGTGTCATTCTTTGTACTTAAAGCATTTGTTTCAATTTCTCCATACTGCTACAGGGTGTGTGTGCTCACCAGAAACTGAAAAAGAGAGAAAGTGAGAAACCGCTCCTTAGGAGGATGGCCACACTGCAATCTCTTCTTTTCCATTTTCTTCTTGTGATTTTGGGCAGTGTGTTTCTCAAGTCACCAGGTCAAGGACTTGAACCGTGCAGTTGGCCATGTGGGATCCAGCCACCTTAACCACTATGCCACCTGCCTGTCTCAATAACAAATATATTTTAATAGAAGAATTCTCTTGGGAGAGTTTATAGGCTACTCATACCAAGAACTATTCTATTAGAAAGTTTGAATACCATATGTATTATGACAATTAATACTGTCATATTGAAAATGTATAATATAATAAATAACTGATAGTCTAGCAGCTCAAAAAAAAAATTAAAACCTACACTTTGACTACCTTCTGTAGATTACCACTCTCAAACCTTGCTTCAAACATCAAAGTGTTGTCGCAATTATCCACAGGCTGCTGCAAGGGTGTTCGGTTGCCCCCAACTCGGGAATACACAAAACAGGGCTCTTTGTAAGCTGATGAGAGAAAAAGACCATAGCAATTTCAAGACATGTCTATGGCAGGCAGGCTATTCTTCATAACAGTCTTGAGTTAGGAATGGTGCAAGTATAAAGATTATGAATTTTAGAGTAATTTGATATGAATTTTTATAGGTTTATGTTGAAGTAAGAGCACCTAAGAGTATTTTGATAAGAAAGGAAATATCTAAAATAAATTTACCTATTTCTCATACTAAGAATATTCATCTTACTTCCAGTCATAATGAAGTAGATGGTCCTAAACTTGCTCTTCTACTTTAAATGTCAATAGAACTGGACAAAAAATATGACTTGCTTTCATTCACTTGGATAATAATAGAACAGAGCTATACAAGGCCTCTGAAACATGATAAATTATGAAGTAAGTCCAGGTTTAGCCCTTGCTTTCTGCATAGAGGTAATTTTTGCACTACAACTTAGGAAAATGAGGCTTAAGAATAGCCTAACGGAACCAGCAGATGGCATAGCCAGGAAAGGTTGTGTCGCTAGACTCCCACATAGTTGACTGTGGTTCGAGTCCTGGACCTGGTGGCTTAAACTCATGTCGGGCACATGTGCGCACGTGCCCAAGATCCTGAGAGGAGAATGGAGGAGAAGGGATTGCGGTGCGGCCATCACCCCTGGAAGGGGGAGTGATTTCTCACTTTCTATCTCTCTGTCTTTCTGGCAAGCTCATGTGCCCTATAGTGAAAACCCTCTCAAACAAAAAAAGTGAAAACCCCCTAAAAAAAAAAAAAAAAAAAAAAAAAAAGATAACAAAATATAAAAAGAATAGCCTAACAGTCTTGTTAAGGAGGCAGGATTATCACTTGGAGTTGCTAAAATTTGTGAAGCAGGATATCACGAAGAAACATGAAGAGAGGGCCTCAACAGTATAAATTGTGGTTTTGTAGTTCTTGGCTGAGGGCTACACAAAAGCAAAGACTGAGCCTAAGAAAGAGAGAAGATATAATAGTCTTACTCTTGGTTATGGGCCTTATGCCTAAGGTGCAGGCTTTCTGGAGATGCAGTGAAATCTCTAAGGTATTTCATGAAATGCTTCCATATTGGATATGTTGGAATTTCAGTATATCCCAGAACTAAATACACTCCAATATCTCAGCTCTACATTTTTTGGGGGGTAAGACACAACACAATTCGGCCAGCAGATGGCGTGGGGGTTAAGGTGCTAGATCCCCTCTGGCTGGATTCATGGTTTGAGTCCCAGACATAGCACCTTGAAACTCATGCTGGGCCTGTCTAAAATCTCAAGAGGAGAATGGAGAAGAAAAGACTGCAGTGTGGCCATCCCACCTGGGGTTGATTTCTCACTTTCTTTTTCTCTCTGGGAGTGCACATACAAAACTAAAAACCAAAACTAAACATAATCTAGATACCAACAGTATATGTTTCATAATGTCCTGCATATGATAAAAAAATTATGAAGCATTCGGAGAAGCAGGAATATATGATTCATAGTCCTCTTCCCCCACTACCCATATATATGGGGTTTTCAAAAGACCCCAAAATAACCCAGATTCATTCTTAGAGATTCATAGAGATGGACTAAATATATGTTCAAACACTTAAAGGAAAATTACAGACTAATGAGAAAACAGGTAAGTCATCTCAAGAAAGAAAGGGAAAACATAAAAAGATAGAAAAGAGCACTACTGTGGGCTGAGACTTTGGATTGTTTTAGTTCTACAAGTCCTAGAAATAAAGAGTACAATAAGGGCCAGCTGGTGATGTGACAGTTGAGGTGCTGCATCCTACACGGCCTTTTGCATGGTTTGAGTCCTGGACCTGGTAGCTTAAAAAATGTTGAGTTGGGGCCAGCAGGTGGCATGGTGGTTGAGGCACTGGACTCCCACATGGCCGACTATGGTTTTTTTTTTTTTTTTTTTGAGAGGTTTTTTGCTATAGGGCACGTGCGCTCACCAGACAGACAGAGAGACATAGAGACAGAAAGCGAGAAATCACCCCCCCCCAGGGGGATGGTCACGCCGCAATCCCTTCTCCTCCATTCTCCTTTCAGGATCTTGGGCACACACGCGAACGAGCCCGGCATGAGTTTGAAGCCACTGGGTCCGGGATGCGAACTGCGGTCGACTACGTGGGAGTCCAGCGACATAGCCATTATGCTAACTGCTGGTTCCCTGGCCGACTATGTTTTGAGTCCCAGACCTGGTGACTTGCTTTCTCAGTTTATCTCTCTACTTGGAGAGCACACATGCCCAATAGCAAATTTAAGAAATAATAATGATAAATAAAATTAAATAAATAATCCTTTAAAAAAAAAGTAGATGGGGCTGGCAGGTGGTGTGGTGGTTAACGGCACTGCACTAATAAATAAATAAATAAAGTAAAATAAATATTAAAAAAAAGTTGGGTATATGTGCATACATGCCCAAAATCATGAGAAGAGAATGGAGAAAAAGGATTGCAATGTGGCCATTCCTCCTGGAGCAGGCGATTGCTTACTCCCCCATGCTCTTTCTCTCTCTGGAGAGTGCACACATGCCACAGCAAAAAACCAAACAGACCAAAACCAAAACCAAAACCAAACCAAACAAAACAAGCACAATATCTGAAAGTTTTTCTGGGGGGGATGAGCTTACTTACTCACCATTGTATTCATATATTGTAACATCACTTTGTACCCATAAATATATATAATAATTTGTAAATTTACAATTAAAAGTAGGAAAAAGGCAAAAAAATAGGGATAAAGATGAAAGATTACAAGAGAAATAATCAATTCACTTAAAAAATAAATATCTAAACTGAAAGGCAGAGGAGGAAAGAGACATACGAATACCCAATAACATGTAGGATATATCTTGAAATCTAATATATGTGTAATTAGAATTCCAAAGGATAGGTGAGAAAAAATAGTTTGAAAGAATATCTGTAAAAACATACTCGGTAAAATGTTCTCAAAATTTTTGGAAAAAAGTTTGTTAACCTATGGGTTCAGGAAGCTCAGCAAACTCTGAGTACGATAGATAAAGATAACCAAATCTAGGTGCATTATAGTCAAACTGCTAAAAATGGCTACAGAGGGAAAAAAAAACACACACACCACATACAGAGAACAATAATATAAATTACACCTGACTTCTTATCAAAGACCACAAATGGTAAAAGACAATGGAACAGTATCTTTAAAGAAAAATGTCAGCCTAGAATTCAATATACATGGAGAATGTCTTTCAAAAAATGGTAAACAGGTTATTAAACAAACTTTCTGAAGGCATTCATTGCCAGCAAACTTACACTGAAAAGAAATGCTAAAGGAAGTTCTTTGGGTTGAGGAATAATAATGCCGGGTGGAAATTCAGATCTACATGAAACAATGAAAAGAAGAAATGGTAAATATATGAATAAGTAGAAAAGACTACTTTTTCTCATCTTAATTTCTTTAAAGAAAACTGACCTGTTTAAAAACAACAACAAAAAATTTAACAGTAATTTTAAATAGATTATGAGAAGGATGCATACTGTAATTCTTAGAGTAATCATATAAAAATAAGAGGTATGTGTAATAATAATAAACTAATTAAAATATGAAAAAATATTGATTAATATCCTAAAAGAGGTTACTGAGAACCAAAACCAGATGAGCCAATCAGTAAGACTGTAAAACCCAAACATATGTAAGGACATGAAATGAAAATCGGCAATACATTCTAATTGAAAGACAGAGATTGTCTGACTAGATTTTTTTAAGAGGCACTATTTGTAGATATACTATATATAATTTAACATAAAGATTGAAAGTAATATGGGGAGGGAGGGACTGGCAGGGGGCATGGTGGTTAAGGGCGCTAGGCTCCCACATGGCTGACCATGATCTGAGTCCTCAACCTGGCAGCTTGCTTTCTCACTTTCCCTTTCTCTCTCTCTCTCTCTCTTGTCAGATTAAAAATAAATGAATAAATAAAGTTAAATAAAAAAATTCTTAAAAAAATTATAGTTAAACCAAGTAAACAGTAAACATAAGAAAGCTGGCTATATTAATATGAAACAACAAAGACATGGTGTCATGCCAGAGATAAAAATAAACATTTCCTGGTGATGAAAGAGGTACTTTATTAGAATGACTTTAGAATAATCAAATATGTTTCAAAATAATGAAATAAATCTAGAAGAATTTTTAAAAGCTCACAAATTAGAAATTAACACTTCTTTTTCAAGTAACTGATAGAACAAGTACAGAAGAACAGTAAGAAAAAATATTTAAATAACTCTATCAATGAACTTGGTCTAACCGACATGTGCAGAACACTACACATTAACTATAGATTACACCTTCTTTCCAAGTGCATGTGAAATGTTTGCCAAGACAGACCTTGTACTTGGTCAAAAACTTAAGTTTTATTACATTTCAAAAGACCACAACAGAATTGAATTAGAAGTCAATGACAATAAGATATCTAGAGAATTCTCATATACTTGGAACACACACAACATATTTTTAAATAATCCATAGATTAAAGGAAAAAATCAAAAGGGCGTTAGAAAATATTTTTAAATGAATGATACAGAAAATATACAGTATGTTGACATTTGTGGGATGAAGTAAAAGCAGTGCTTAGGAGGAAATTCATAGCATTAAATGCTTACATATTCTGCTTAGGATGTAGGGCATTGGAAAGTGTAAGGAGTGGCTAGATCTGAGCATCATGATAGTGACCTTTAAAAACAAGCAGAGACATGGTCCTTGTACTGATGCTGCGGGCTATATATTAAAGGCTCTAGTGGAAAAGATGAAGAATACACAAATCAGATGGATATTTTCATCAGAGATATGAAAACTATAATGAAGCATCAAATGGCATGTGAGAAGTTAAAAACGTAGCAACAGAAATGGATCTGCCTTTGATTAGAGCAAAGAATCAATGAACTTGAAGACAAGTCAATAGAAATTGCTCAAGGTGAAGCATAGTTTTGTTTTGGTTTTTGTTTGCTATAGAGAGTGTGCACATGCAAGAGAGAGACACAGAGAAAGAGAGAGAGAGAAAGTAAGAAAGCACCCTACACTATAGGGGATAGCCATGCTGCAGTCTCTTCTCTATTGTTCTCTCAGGACTTTGGGCATGCATGCACACACACCCAGCATGTTTTTCATGCCACTGGGTCCAGGACTTGAACCATGCAGTCAGCCATGTGGGATCCAGCCACTTTAACCACAATGCCACTGGCTGCCCGCCCCCTCCTCCCTTTTAAAACAACAACAAATAATAACAAAAGGACACAGCATCCAGGAACTATAGGGCAATAGCAAATTGTCATGCATGTGATTTAAATTCCAAAAGAAAAAAGCAATTGAGCAGAAAAAATATGTGAAGAAACAATGGCTGAGAAGTTTCCAACATTAATGACAGACACCAAACCACAGACTCAAGCAGTTCACAGAACAACAACCAAGATAAACCCCAAAACCTATACACATTTAGGCATATGACACTTAAACTACTGAAAACAAGATGAAGAAAAAAATTTTGGAGGCAGACATAAAATAAAACACACATTACATATAGAGGAACAAAGATTCTAATTCTTGCAAGCTTCTAGCCATAAGCTATGCAAGCTAGAAAACAATGAAACAACATCTTTAAAGTGCTGAAAAGACAAAATTTGTCAACTAGAAATGCTATGCCCACCAAAAACATGTTTTGAAATAGAAAAAACAAAAACAACTAAATAAACGGAGAGAATTCATTTGCTGCAAAGGAATATTTCAAAAAGTTTTCTGGCAGAAGTAACGTGCTACCAGATAGATCTGTACAGAGAAATGAGTACTAGAAATGAAATAAACAAAAGTAGAGATAAAATTCATTTTTCTTATTTTTTAATTTATCTAAAAGATAACTATTTTAAAAAGTAAGAATGTTTTGAGTTTTTATAGCACATGAAAAAGTAAAACACTTGAAAATTATGGCACAAAGGGAGGGAGGAAAGAATTGGGAATATAGTGATCAGCAGTTAGCGTAACAGCTATGTCACTGGACTCCCACATAGTCGACCGCGGTTTGCGTCCTGGACCCAGTGGCTTAAACTCACACCGGGCGCGTGTGCGTGCGTGCCCAAGATCCCGAGAGGAGAATGGAGAAGAAGGGATTGCAGCGTGGCCATCCCCTCTGGGGGTTGATTTCTTGCTTTCTGTCTCTCTCTCTCTGTCTGTCTGGTGAGCGCATGCGCCCGATAGCAAAAACCTTTCCAAAAAAAAAAAAAAAAGAATTGGGAATATAATTTTGTATCTCTTCATGATATATGAAAGGGCATAGGATTATTTAAGGTAGTCTTCTACATTAAAGATGCATATTGAAAAACCTAGGGCAATCACACAAAAACTTAAAAACAGGTATACATGATAAATCAATAGTAGGAATAAATGGAATCATGAACTATATTCAAATTAATCTCTAGGAGGGCAAAAAATAATTTGAAAATAGAATAGAATAAAACTAGTAAAATGACATAAATAATTATCAGTATTTATATAAAACATAATACAAAGACATCGATTTTCAGAGTATATAAAAGTAAACACTTAACTATATGCTGTCTATTCCCCTGAATTAAAAAAAAAAGTATAAAACAGACATGTTAAAAGTAAAATGATATAAAAAGATACACTATGTAACAATAAATACTAATCAAAAGAAAGCTTGCGCAGCTATTTTAAAATTAAAGTACATTGCATAGATAAAGTTATATTTCTTTTTTTTTTTTTGGAGAGATTTTCACTGTAGGGTGCGTGCGCTCGCCAGACAGACAGAGAGAGACATAGAGACAGAAAGTGAGAAATCACCCCCCAGGGGGGATGGTCACGCCGCAATCCCTTCTCCTCCATTCTCCTCTCGGGATCTTGGGCACACACGCACACGCGCCCGGTGTGAGTTTTAAGCCACTGGGTCCGGGACACGAACCGCGGTTGACCATGTGGGAGTCCAGCGACATAGGCATTACGCTAACTGCTGGTTCCCTAAAGTTATATTTCTATGGTGGCATTAGCGTAAATCTCAATACATCAGTGGACCAGAATGAAATATCTAGACATAGACTCACTCATGTTGTTAACTGACAATAAATGTGGCTAGACAATTCAAGGATAAATTTCATTAAACTCTCAATTACTGAGTATACCACTGAATTCATTTTTTTTTTTTTTTGGAGAGATTTTCGCTATAGGGCGCGTGTGCTTGCCAGACAGACAGAGAGAGTCATAGAGACAGAAAACGAGAAATCACCCCCCAGGGGGGATGGTCATGCCGCAATCCCTTCTCCTCCATTCTCCTCTCAGGATCTTGGGCATGCACGCACACGAGCCCAGCGTGAATTTTAAGCCACCGGGTCCGGGATGCGAATCGCAGTTGACTACGTGGGAGTCCAGCGACACAGCCATTACGCTAACTGCTGGTTCCCAGTATACCACTGAAATCTTGACAAGACCCTGACAGATTTACCTCAACTATTTTTATTATTTACCAGATCTTATTTCAGTTAGGTTAGCCATGAAAACAGATGAAATCAAATTTAAAAATCAGATGTACTTCTCCTACTCTAGTTGTTTAAAAATCAGTGTGATTGTATGATTTTTAAAATTACTGTATAGTAAAAAATTCCTGTGAATTTCACTTTTTCTTGCTAGCCCTTTAAATAATCTGCATAGTATCCCTGGCAGTTATCTTTAATAAAACAAAAACACTCTTAAGATCTCATGCTCTAATGGTAAAATTATGCAAGAATCCCATACTTTCTCATGGTGGTGTTTCAAGAGCAGTAGAGTTTACAATACAGGCTGAGACAGTTTATTAGCACGTTCTATCATAAAAGCAAACTTAAATCATTGTATTAAGAGTTCTCAAAGTACAAATACTGATCTTGCATGTTAAGAACACTTTCCTGATAGGGCTAACAGGTGGTACAGTGGTTAAGGTGCTAGACTCCCACATAGCCAACTAGAGTTCGAGTCTAGGATCTGGTGGCTTCAAAATCACACCGTGTGTGTGTGTGTGTGTGTGTGTGTACGTGCACACGCGCTTGAGCAAAATCTCAGAAGAATGGAGAAGGAATTGGGATGTGGCCAGCTGCCATGCAGGGTGATTTCTCACTTTCCCTCTCACTGTCTCTCTCTTTGGCGAGCACACACCCCTTATGGCAAAAACCTTGGAAAACAAAAAGAAAAAAAAAAAGAACACTTTCCTGGGATATGATCTTAGATTTTATTTACAAGGTGAAGTAATTTTCTTCTTTTAATGATGAAAATCCTAAGAAATACATCAAACAGAAATGAAATAAAAAGAAAAATGTCTTGAGCTAGCAGATGGCATGGTGGTTAAGGAGCTGGACTACCACATGACTGAGCGTGGTTCAAATCCTGGACCTGGGGGCTTGAAAATCACGCAAGGCCCTTGTGCATATATGCCCCAAATCCTGAGAGAAGCATCGAGGAAAAGGGACTGAAGTGTGGCACTGCTCCTGGGGTGGGGGCAGGGGGATTTTTCACTTTCCCCTCTTGCTATCTCTCCAGCACACATGCCTTATGGCAAAAATCTAAAAAAAAAAAAAAAGAAAAAAAAAAAAAGAAAAGTATCTTAACAACTTTATGGACATGAGCTGTAGATGAAGAGGAAACAACAGCTGCAGTCTGATCCACTAGATTTATCTCAGCAAACTGATATAAAGTATAATTTATTCTAACTCTCCATTATATTGGCCAACATGTTTTCTTTTGAAGTAACTCAGCATAAACAGGAGTATATCTTTTTTTTTTTTTTTTTAATAAAAATCCCTAAGGTGCCTTGGGGTTGATTTCTTTCTTTCTTGTTTTTTTGGAGAGGTTTCTGCTATAGGGTGCGTGTGCTCGCCAGACAGAGAGAGAGAGACAGAGAGACAGAAAGCGAGAAATCACCCCCCAGGGGGGATGGCCATGCCACAATCCTTTCTCCTCCATTCTTCTCTCGGGATCTTGGGCACTCATGCACAAGCACCTGGTGTGAGTTTTAAGCCACCGGGTCTGGGATGCGAACCACGGTCGACTACGTGGGAGTCCAGTGACATAGCCATTACGCTAACTGCTGGTCCCAACAGGGGTATATATTCAAAAACATAATTAGCACTACGTCAACAAGTGAATCAATACATAACCAAATATCTTTATGGGATTGGGGACTTTTTGATAATCTGAAATTTCTACTATAAACAGCAAAACAAAAGTAAGTAAGAGATTAACCCAGATACCAAACAATTTTTTACAGCAATGTGTCTCATTATGTGCCCACCATCTTCAGCTAGATAAACCACAGTATCTTCCTTGGAGTTCAAATAAAGGGGTTCAGTTTCTAGGCCTGTTGGGATATATACTGGCTCAGGAAAGGAAGGAGTCCAATCTAGAAATAAACCAAGGAAACATTTAAAAATTATGACTTAATATAAAACAGGACCATTTTATTATATATTTTCAAATTCTTCATTGATTCCTCTAGGCTAATATGGAACTGGATTTTACCAAAGTTTCCTTGGATGTAATAATGAACATTGTCATACTATATGAATTTTCCTTGGGTCAAAGTCTTCCCCAGAAGAACAGAGACTGTACTTTGCATTTACCATGAGTCACATGAGTACCAAGTCAATACTATTTGTGCCATTGTGTCTCATGAATCAACTTGTAAAGTTTCTTTGTCCTTCAGCTCCTTTCTCCATCGGTCTTAGGACTGGCTCAGGAAAGATAATATCAGAGACCACACTGTATCCTCAGGTTTACATAATATACTGCATTTTCTTTTAAGAAAAATACAAAACTCTCATGAAAAAATAAGACTCCTGAGACCCTGGCTGCTAGTGTAGCAGATAGGCCTAGACATGTCTGAAAATAGCTTATTATCAAGCTGGAACACATGTATAAAAAGAAGTTTAGAATGTTATCCTTGTAAGATTATTAAATATTTTATTTTAAACTTTATGTTTGTGTGGTATTACCTTTCCTCCCAGTTTTATTTCATTAATTTGTATTGAAGTCTACATTAGCAAATACTATTAATAATAACAAAATATAGATTACTCAGAAGTTCCTAAATGCATATTTACAAAATGTCTTCATAATGCCAAATCCAAATATGTGGAATACATTCATCTGTATTCTATTGTCCTTTTATGGGAGAAACACATACCAAAACCAAACAGCTCCCTGGACAGATTCAACTTTTTACAGCACTGACTTAAAAGCTTAAGTAGTCACAATGGACAAGATATTCCATTTTGTGCATCTCTTATTTAGATATCATAGAACTTTAAAAATTTATCCTCAAGTTAACCTTTGGTTGATCCCACTTGATCACTGATATATGATATCAATTCTAGTGGATTCATAAAAGGAGTGTTTAAGAGTCACACTAGAAACAGTGAGGATTTTCTTTTCCTGCTCCTTTTCATTCCCATAATCACAGATGTGCAGTGAGGAGACTGAAACAGAGCTGAGATACAAGAGAGTTTGGAGGAAGGTTCAAATTCAGTGGCATGACAGTGTTTTCTTTCTTGACCTTTTTCTTTCTCTAGTGCTGGAGTTAAAAGGAGGAAAGGCTATCAGAGGAATTGGGTGGGGCTGAATGATGGCACAGTAGTAAAATGCGAAGCTCTGCAAGGCTGACCTATGTGGGATAGTTCTTTGCTCGCATCTAAAGACCTCCCAGAGTGTGCCGCGTATGTACAGCCCATGATTCGGGAGATTCCAGGCTGGCTGAGGCTGAGGGTATATTGCAGCGCTAAAACCCTGCTGGGGGTGCTATTTCTCTCTCTGGCTTGTGGAAGAAAAAAATTAACAAACTTTAAAGAAAAAAAGTAAGGGAGGGGTGGGGCTGATGCTATGGGGACCAAAAGAAGAAAAAGGGAGAGATTTCCTATACTGCAGAAGATAAATATATACCCAAATGCATCTTGCTAAAGAGATCTTTACAAATATATAAAGGGATGTTTGTAAGTACTATTAAGCATAAACTCTTTAATGTATTTTTACCCAATAACTTTAAGATTCTTGGGGGGAAATTAACTTTGTCTTCTATTAACAAAACTCAGTGTTCTCTTTCTCTCTACATATAGATACATGCATACATCTATATGTATACATCTATGTGTGTGTGTGTGCACGCGTGTGTATCTGTTCACCAGCAATGAAAGGAAAAAACTTGGTTTTTAAGAACTCCTAAGTAATTCCTAATTTGAGTAGATACTATAAAAAGTCTAGACAATCACGGTAAGTACATACAGTTTGAAGTTGTTTTAAAGAATTATTTATTTAATTTTATTTATTCATTCACTTATTTTAATTTTACCAGAGAGATGCACACACAGAGATGGAGGCAAGCCACCAGGTCCAGGACTTGAACTGTGGTTGGCCATTTGGGAGTGTCCAGCGCCTTAAGCACCATGCCACCTGCTGGCCCCTATGGTCTGAAATTTTATTCACCAGTGAATGTAAGTTCTCTTCCTGGAATAATGTATGTACTCTGAGTTATAATCAACGAATGTGAAACAGCAGTGGCAGTGAGAACATGGTGAACAACGGGAATGTTTCTGCCATGCTGTGAGTGAGCCGGAGAGATAAGGCTGTAAACTTTGAAAGACAGAAAAATAAATTGGGAATGCAATATACAGCAATGTAAAGACATCCATTAAAACATGCACTCTTTAGTTTCATAAATGTCCATTAAAGGAAAGAAAGCAGGGAAAGGAAAAAAAAGACAAAGGGGCATAAAATGAAAATAGAAGAACAGAAATGAAAAAAAGGAAAAAAAAAGAGACAAAGAAGGATAAAGATATATAAAGAAAGACATAGAAGGGGGGAAAAAGGAGAAAGAGAGGAGACCAAAAGAGCAGGGTTGCCGATCTCAGGTATTCGAGCATAGCTTCTGTCTGTGACCTCACTCTGCACGTTTGTGACTGGAACCCAGTCATACTATTTGGAAGAGTTTAGAATTACTAAAGCTAAGGGCCAGCAGGTGGTGTGGTGGTTAAAGCGCCGGACTCCCACATGTCTGTCCACGTTTCGAGTCCTGGACCTGGCGACTTGCTTTCTCACTTTCCCTCTCTCTCTCTGGTTAAATTAAAAAAAAAAAATGAGAATGAATAAAAATTAAATAATTCTTTTAAAAAAAAGCATTACTAAACTTTTAGGAGCTAAGCACACACTTTAAACCTCTCTGTTTAAATATGTGGGGCTACTGAGCCCTGGAAATGTAGCTGATCTGAATTGAGAGGTCTATAAATACAAATGTGCCTCAGATACTATACAAAAAGAAAGAATGTGAAATATTTTAGATTTAGTTGGGTTAAAGTAAATAGATCTTTAAAATCAACTTCATTAAAAGGATTTTTCCTTTTAAATATGATTCCTAGAATATTTAATTTTTCATATTTCTGTTGGAATGTACTGCTCTAACACAAATCTCATTAAAATCAAGGTTGGGAGAGCAAATCTGCTAATGTCTGAATTTCCTCAAATCGTTAAAAGCATACCAATATGCTGGACTTTCTCATCAATGACTTCACAGTGGTATGGCCACCGTGTTGGGCTCAGTGGACCAGAAGAAGAGACACCATATAAATCTCGTGGTTCACGAAGGCGTGGTACCCATCTCCCCAGCTGATATTCCAACAGTATCTGTGTAGTCCGGGGGAAGAATGGGTCACCAAAACAGTCAGCTAAAAAAAAATTTCAAACACAATCATTAGTGATAAGAAGGAAAATCCCAATTTTCATAATTTCTTATAGTTTAATTTTTCCTTCAGACACTGTTCAATTTGTGAATATTATTAAAAATACTTTCCAATTCATAGTGCTTTTAATGAAAGTATGAATGAAATTTTGTGACAAGTGATCTTAACTAATGATTGTTGACCTTGGATACTATTAATTTATGCTAAGTGCTCATTATTACTCTAAAACATTTGTGTCTTACAACTCTTGTAGCATACCATCTACTTATGATTTTTTTCTTTTCTTTTCTTTTTTTTTTTTTGAGAGAGGGTTTTGCTTTATTCCCAGGCTGGCCTCAAAACTTGTCATCCTCCTGCCTCAGCTTCTGGAGTAGCTGGGATTCTTGGTGTGCAGCACCACCTCTGGCCTTACTTTTGGTTCTTACACTTAATCATAAATACTATTTAACAGTTAAATATACTCACTGATTGTAATTCCCCACTATTGATAGGAAGTATAATCTCAAAGTTTGCTATTGAACTTTAGGTCACAATTTTTTTTTTCTCAGTTTTCATTCTAGGATCACTTTGATCCACAAAGAATATAATGGGGGCAGTCCCAAGCAGGCAGTGCAGTGGCCCTGTCTCTTTCGATAACTCTGTGTCATCAATTTCATCAGCTCTAGATAAAACATGAAAACTGCCTGAGAGGTCTGGAAAATAAGTAAAATCAAGGTGATTAGAGAAACGTCCCTAATACACTCTCCCACAGGAGTGTGAATTCATTCCCCTTGGTTTCTTATTGTTTTGCCCTGATGGCAGGTCCTATTCACAGAGCAGTCTAGTGGCTCAAATGGGTAAATCTCATATAGAAACCCAGTCTCTCGTTAAGAGAGGAACCAGGAAAAGGGGTCCTCATAATGTGGAAGGAATAGGAAAGGGCAAAAGAAACCAGGAAAAGGTGCCTCCTAATTGTGTGTGTGAACCCATAGAAGTCAGCCTACTTCTGAGCTCTGCAAGCAAGAAGACTAAGACTGACATTTGAACTGAAATTTTAACTGCATACACACAGCCTGAGTTCAACCCTTGAAATACGCATGTGCATGATAGTCCCAAACCAATGCAGGAAAAAGTTAGAAAACTAAACCTGGAAAGCAACTGTAGGTACCAGAGACAATGTGGGAGGAGGCTGGGAAATTACAGAGGGTGAGAAGGAGGGAATCAAAATAGAAGCAAAACAGAAGCAAAACATATAAGAAACAAGAAATGAAAAATTATTTGTTGAAGATAACATGTATGATAATATCTTTGAGCCAATATAGTGTATTATGGAGGGAAAAACTCATTTTGTATGCTGCAATGATATACAGTGAATGAGTGTAAAATAAATAAATTTAAAAAAAGAAAACTAAACAAGAGATTTGAACTGTCTATACAAATGTCAGAACTCCTGAACTACACTGGCTTGGGAAAGAACCCTACGATAGCAGACTTAGGAGAGCTGAACTATGATTTGAAATACTATCTTAAACTAACTGGGCTGATAACCTGCTAGATGGAAATATATTGACACTGCCCAGAACAATTATTCACTGTTACTAATTCTGACTTTTCCTTAGTTTTATTTTAATTTTTTATCCACTGAAGCTTTTTTTTTTTTTTTCCACTGAAGCTTTTATGATAAAAGGGAGGAAAAATATATGGGTAAGTTCAAACCTGTTAAAAATGTACACCGATGAAGATCTCCACTTACAATTTTCACGAATGTATCCTCATCCTAAAACAAGAGAATTTAAAAATATGTACCTCTTAAAAACCAAAGGTTTCCAAATCTGGAAATTTTTTTTTTACTACTTGGGAATTAGTGTATGTCTCTAATTTTTTTTTTTTTTTAAGAATCATTTATTTTTATTTTATTTATTCTTTTCATTTTATTTTAATTTGACCAGAGAAAGACACAGAGAGAGAGAGCGGGAAAGTGAGAAAGGAAGCCACCAGGTCGAGACTTGAACCGTGGTCGGCCATGTGGGAATGTCCAGCGACTTAACTGCCATGCCACCTGCTGGTCCCTATGTCTCTAATCTTTAATAAATGAGAAACAGAAAGCTAGAAATCCCCCCTTCCCCTTCCGGGGAGATGGCCATGGCACAATCCCTTTTCCTCCATTCTCCTCTCGGGATCTTGGGCATGCACGCACACGTGATCAGCATGAGTTTAAACCACTGGGTTGACTACATGGGAGTCCAGCGACATAGCCATTACGCTAAATGCTGGTCCCCCCAATACTTAGCATATTCTGAAACCTTAAAGTTCATTATTTTCCTTCTTCTAATGGGTATGATAGTAATGACTATATCCTTACGGTTTAAACACTCTTGATAAATTTGGAAAACTAATTTAAATTAAGAATAGAAGCAAGCAAGCAAGCCCGCCAGTCTAACAATATCTGAGTGACTTTATTTTGAGACCTTACCTTACATACATAATCTGTTAAATTTTAATAAAATTGGAAGGAAATTGCTCAGAAAACAGTACTAGAACCACACAAAATATTTAAAAATACATTTTCTTCCAGGTCTTTTCCTTTACGACATCACAGCAACATTAAATCTATTATAGTGATACATAATAGGGGTAGAAAGTAAGTGGTTCTAGTATACTTACGATATAAACAGAAAAGAATTAATACACAGAAGAAAGTAAGTGGACTTGAGTCACTAAAACCCTGATAATGATAAAATACATATTTTTATAAAATCCAGAAGCTTTTTTTTTTTAAGTAAAAATATTTTATCAAGAAAGCAGTATCAATAGTCTCTCTTTCTAGATAGGGTATTCTGCACACCATCATAACTTAGCTTTCTTTTTCTTTTTTTTTGGAGAGGTTTTTGCCATAAGGTTCGTGCACTCGCCAGACAGAGAGACAGAGAGACAGAAAGCGAGAAATCACCCCCCCAGGGGCGATGGCCACGCTGCAATCCCTTCTCCTTCATTCTCCTCTTGGGGTCTTGGGCACGCATGCACACGCCCCTGGCATGAGTTTTAAGCCACCGGGTCTGGGACTCGAACCGCGGTCGACTACGTGGGAGTCCAGCGACATAGCCATTACGCTAACTGCTGGTCCCATAGCTTAGCCTTTTCAGCGTATTTCCCAACTTCAAAGAAAATGAGTTAAACACCTGGTAGACCGTTTTTTAGAAACTGATTTTATATTCTAATTAAGGATTTATGTTCTATAACAAATTTTATCTCAAATTAAGTAGAATAAAATTAAGAAAACATACTGATTCATCTTCATCACTGATTGTTCTATCTGAATAGTCTTCCTTCTCTGAGTCTTCTGACATCTTTTCCAACATTTGCTTGCAATTTCTTTCCTTATGTGGGTAGGCTGTAAAACAATTTCTAAGGAACTTATTTGACAGCTTTTCTTTTTAAGCTACTTCTGTTACACTGAGTATTCAAAAGCACTTTCTGTTTCTATTGTATCTAGTGAACAAAGAAGTGCTCTCTAAACATGAAATTAACTAGGATGAGGCTTTAGTTAAACCTTCAGTTTCAACGATTTGAAAAATTTTTCAGTGACAAAAAGACAAAAATCACAATAAAAGACAAATCGAGTAAATAATTTAATTGAAAAAAGAAATTTCCAGAATACACAGTCAAGTGATTGACATTCTATTATATATATATATTTACAATGAAATACTGCAGAACAACAGCAAGTTTATAATGATCTGCGGTACTAATCGATAATGAATCAAAGAAAAATTATGGTTCCTTATTTTGGTAATGAATTATGGCAATATATTAGTTTATGAAATTTCTTAATATTCCATTAACCAGAAGTTCAGGTTACAATAGACTTTTCAAAATTTTGATTAATATCGTTCTGTATATAACTGTTCTAATATTCGATTGCATTATTCTTACTGAAATCACCAAAGTGTTATTGGCGATGTCTATCACCCATCCTATGCAATTACCTTCCCACGTGACGGTTATTAACACAATGGGATAATTGAGATTCCTTAAGATTCTAGTCTGTGAGAGACCAAAGGAAGGTATAGAATCTATAGGTTTGTGCCGCTCCTCTCTTCAAAAACCGCGTTTCGAACCGTGGACAGACTCTCCATAGCAAGTTCCTAAAACTGCAATAGAGAAGACTGCCTCAGGGTGACACTTTCGGTTTTAAGAGTGACATTTCAGTCCCGGGATCGCAACTCGAAAACTGGGTTGGCTACCGCGCACAGGGGCACACCGTCGCGCGGACCTGCTGCGGATAAACCCTCAGCTTCGGGAAAGCCACACAGCTGTTGAAGGCGCTGGGCTGCGTCTACCGACCGGCCGTGCGGGCGCGCGCATGCCCCGAAGGTCGTGGCGCCGGCACGCTGGCTTCGTTGGGTTTCCTGGTGGGAAGCAGCATGATCAGATTAAACTACGACGCCAGTCGGCACCGTCCTCCTGCCACACTCACTTCTTTAGGACCGGGCAATGTGGGGAAGAGCTCATTTTTCGGGGGGCTGTCTCGGTGCGCTCGCTTCCCGCAAGGGCCCCGCCTCCGAGCTCGCTATGCTCCTCGGCACTTCACCACTGCGACTCCGCCGGCCTCTCCCGCCTCGAGTCCTCGGCCAGGACAGTCGTCTCTTCGCGCGGGGAGAATATCTCGACTTCTTCCGGAGATACCCGGGGTCCAGGGGCTGAAGGAGCGCTACTGTGGCTGTATAACCCCCCGTTACTGGGGTAACGGGCCCACCCTCGCGAGACTTCGGGCGGCTGTAGGTAATCACCTAGCAACAGGGGAGCCCAAGGAATGACGGGAACTCCGGGCGGAGTCGCAGGACGGGCGCAGAGACGAGGCGGGACTTAGAGCGCTTTGGCGGGAACTCCGGGAGTGGGAAGGGGGCGGAGCCATTCTACCCTCGGTTGTTTGCCAGGACCCTTCTCAGAGGAGCCAGTAAAACGATATTGGTTAAGACTTGTGCTTTGGGGACCAGCAGGTGGCGTAGCGGTTACGTCGCTGGACTCCCACGTGGCCGATGGCTGTTTGAGCCCTGGACCCCGTGGCCTCAAACTCAAGCCGGGCGCGTATGCGTGTGCATGTGCATGCGTGTGCCCATGGTACCGAGAAGGGATTGTGGAGTGGTCATCTCCCCTGGGGAGTGAGTTCTTTCTGTCCCTCTGCCTCTCCTGTGAGGGCACGTGCCCTATAGCCAGCATTTCTCCAACAAAAACAAAACTTGTGCTTTGGAGCTTACCTAACCTTCGCTAAGTGAAGTTTCTGGATTTCTGTGTCTGTAAGACAGATACAGTAATTGCAACGACTATTTGGAGTTGTTAGAAGAGTAAGTTGAGAGTATGTTGGTCATCGTTGCTATCCACACTGAGTTCCATTCTGTGGGGTTGTGTGACTATTTTTATTATACTGGAAAAATAAGACTTTCTCCTTTTTCAAGTTTTCTTGAAAAACAGTTAGCTTTTATAGTTGTACCCTGTTTTATGCCTTACATACACTACTGAAGATGAGATGCAGAGTCTTTATATATGGAATGTGCTTTTCTGTTGGAGTTTAGTCATGGTTGCAAATCATAGGATGGCTGAAGTACAAGGTGAAGCACTAAGAAATGGTCTAACCAGGTCATACAATAAATACATGACAGTTGGAACTTAAGTATTATGATTTTTAATCAAAATACCTACCTTATCACATGTCAAGTAATCCTTGTAGAGAAAAAAATGAGTAATAAAAATTTTTAGGAATTCAACAAATCCTTGAAAGTCATAATCATTATTTCATGAATTCACCAAATCTTTTTTTTTTTTAAAGAGGTTTTTGCCTTAGGGCACGTGCACTCACTAGGGGGAGAGAGAGAGTGAGAGACGGTACAGTGAGAGGGAAAGTGAGAAACTATTCCTCTAGGGGGGATGGCAGCACTGCAATCCCTTCTCTATTCTTCTCTCAGGATTTTGGGCACACACATACATGCACCCTGCCAGAGTTTCAAGCCATTGAGTCTGGGACTCAAACTGTGATCAACCAACGTAACCACTGTGTCATCTGCTGGCCTCACCACCTAATCTGGTTTGAATACCTACTGCGTGTCAGGGACTATTCTCAGTGGTAGGGCTTTTGAACTGAATGAAATAGACATTCTTCATGGACGTTGTGTACCTGTGGGAGAAAACAGATAAATCAAATATAATAATAATAATAGACCATTTCAGGTAATGATAATTGTTATGGAGAAGAATAAAGTAGGGAAAAGTAAAGGGCATAGGGAGGGTGGCGAGGTGGGCTTTGGTAGAGTTAGGTAGCAGTTCAATATAAACAGGGTCAGATAGAACTCCCCTCTCCTCCCCAACAAAAAAATCCTGCCCGAGTGGGTCTGGCCTGTAGTCCTCACTTTCCAGTAGGAAGGGTTTTAACCATACATCTCCACCTTGGGAAAGTCCCAGTTGTGTCTCAAGACCCAACTCCTGTTTGCCTCACCTCTAGGCCAAGACCCTTTTACTTGCTTTAAGGTTGAGCATTGAACATCCTAAACCAATGACTTGTCCTTGAGCTACCTGTGCTCACTTACACATATTACGTTGTGGTTTTGCCCCCACCCTCTATGGACTTTCAGGATGTGTTCTTGGAAAACGCATGTGTGGAAGTGTGTAAGTTATGTAAGCCCCTGGCTGTCAGTCTAAGAAAACCCCATGATGAAAGGAGAGGGGTCACTCAGGAGAGGGAACTGGGGCCATCATCAAAGAAACCCATCCAGATAACCTCAGGGCTGGCTGGCTAATTCGCCTTCAACCAGCCTGTTCTTCCTTCTTGAGAGTGTACTTTGCTATGCTTAGCTAAATAAAGTTTCTATATGAACTACTTTTCTGCAGATATCTGTCTTCAGTTCTTTGTCAGTGGATGCCAAGAGCCGAGGACCATAGTCACCTTGTAGCTTTAGGGTTGCCAGGGAAGGCCTCTAACCTGGAGGCAGGTGGGCAGAGGGAGGGACCGTAAGGATGTCTAAGGAAGCAGCTTGTACAAAGGCTCAGAGAAGAGCATGTTATGAGTTATATGAGGTGATATTGTTTAGCCAAAACTTAGCTGAACCTGGTATCATTTTAGGGAAGGAGATTTCATAAGGACTGTAAAATAGTTTTTTAAAACATCTCTTTTTTTAACTTAGACATTTTAGCTCAGTGAAATCCTTAGACTAGGTCCACAGAAAGCCTGCGAACCTAGCTGGGCTTCCTGTGTCTCTTATTCCAGACAGTGGTATGTATGGGAATGAAATTCTTTGCCTTTTAGTTAGACTGGAAGTAAGCCTAGAGTAACTTCTACCAAGGGCTGTCAGTCTGAACTTTTGTTGCCCTTCTCTATGGTCTTACCAGTGCAGCTTACTGGACAGACCTCTATATCAGCCAACTTCTGTTTTTCGAGAAGGCAGCCTTACTCCTGCACCAACTTTTCCTCCTCTACTTTTTTGGCCAGTACTCGGAGACTGCAGTATAAAACACAATGTAATTAATGTAGAATTGGAAAAGAAGAAAAGACAACCACAACTAGACCCCCAAAAGACATAATTACTGGTGTAGGAATCAGGAAGAAAGTTCATTTTAGAAACATGGCCACAGGTAAGTTGTGTTAGGAATATAATTAATTTTATGTAATTATGTCATTTTGAAATTATTGAGCAGAGGCTTAAATGAGGATATGAAATGACTAGGGCAATCAGTTATTTGTGACATCATAGAAATCAGTGGTCAGGTGGCCCTAGAGGTGTTGTCACAATGTGGCTGAGGAAGCCATGCTAGGGCCTGGGAGCCCTGGGGTAGTCTAGTACCTGTCTTGGTCTTCCTCAGACTGTCTCTAGGTTTACTTGGTTTAGGGAAAAATGTCTCAAACTCTTTCCAAACTCAGATCTTCAGATCTATTCTTTCTTTTTTTTTTTGAGAGATTTTCGCTATAGGGTGCGTGTGCTCGCCAGACAGAGAGAGACATAGAGACAGAAAGTGAGAAATCACCCCCCCCAGGGGGGATGGTCACGCCACAATCCCTTCTCCTCCATTCTCCGCTTGGGATCTTGGGAACGCACGCACACGCGCCCGGCATGAGTTTTAAGCTACCAGGTCCGGGACGCGAACCACGGTTGACTATGTGGGAGTCCAGCAACATAGCCATTACGCTAACTGCTGGTTCCCTTCAGATCTATTCTTGACAGTCAACTAACGAAGCTTCAGTTCAGTGGTCATTCCCATAAGGACGCCTTCCTAACCCTGCTGTCATTAGCAGAATTAACTGTATTTGGGGACTGCAGTGAAGCAATCATTCACCTTAGTACTTAGAAATAAGGGAGTAAGAGTGCCTCCTGACGGCTCGACAAATAACTGGATAGATCATCTTAAAAGGGAACAAGTGGGGCCAGCTGGTGGCACAGTATAAACAAGGGTTTGTAATGGTGGGTCCATAGGAGAAGGTCCTGTGTTCATGTCCTGGAATCCTCCTGAGAGCACTGAGTATATGCATGTGTGCCTGAGACCCACACTGGGTGAGGCCAGGGCGTAGATTGTGAACTGAAGATCCTGTTGGGCATGCCTTTATTTTAGAGAGATTTTTGCTATAAGGCACATGTGCTCACCAGAGAGACAGAGACAGAAAGCAAGAGATCACCCCCCAGAGAGCATGGTCATGCCACAATCCCCTCTTGAGATTTTGGGCACACACGCACATGCACCCGGCGTGAGTTTTAAGCTGCCAGGTCCAAGACTCGAATCATAGTTGACTATGTGGGAGTCCTGCGACCTAACCATTATACCATCTGCTGGTCCCAGGCATGCCTTTCTGTCTGACTCTATCTCTTTCAAGTGGAAGAAATAAATAACTTACAAAAAGCAGGGAGGAGATATTTGGTTCCCAGGTTTAGAGTGAAGTCTCAAGACAAAACCCATGAAACAGTTAATACATGAATTATAAATCTTAGAAACGAATATCATAAAATGGATTAACTTCGTGGAATTCTAGAAATTTGACTACAAAAATTGAGAGCAGTACATCTAGCAAAGTTTGTAAGTTGAAATGCTCGTGAAATCATCTTCTCTCTCATCAAGCACCATTATGTATACTGGTACTGGGTATACCTCTGGGGGTACCAAAAACTATAAGGCAATTATTTTTGTTTTTTGATTACCCCAGTATTCTTTCTTCCGTCTGAATGCTGCCTGTTGGCCTGCCCCAAAGCCTAGTGGTTAAAGGAGCTGGATCCCACATGGCTGATGCTGCTTCAGATCTGGCCTTGGCAGAAGGCTATGTTTTCAACTTCATATCCTGAATATGCATATTTTAAAATTATTTTTCATTTAACTCAGTCTTTTCATTTTGATCCTAATACTACAATGTGTATTCTTTTTATTGTTTAGTTTTGTAAATTGATTTTGACAACTCATTGTCTAGATTATGTATGATTAGTAAAAATACTAATCATTGGCAACAGGTACAGCGCCACCACTGAGAACTCAGCAGCCTCTCCTCTCAGCCCCCTCTCTTTCTGATGCTACAGTGTGTTCCCCCCCACCCCACCCTCTTCTCTCACTATCGTCTTACACAGCAGGCCGTTTCCTCCAAGGAAAAGGAATAACACTATATGTCTACTCTCCAGAATCTCCACTCTTTTGACACTGCCGATGCAAGTAAGGATGATAACCTGCTTCCTGTTGGCCATGAGGACTGTGTCCATATATGAATTCAACAGAGAAACGGCAGGAAGATTGTTACTACTGAACAAGGGATCACTTATGATCATGATAAAAAGAAACCAGTGGGGAACCAGCAGTTAGCGTAATGGCTATGTCGCTGTACTCCCACATAGTCAACCGCGGTTCGTGTCCTGGACCCGGTGGCTTAAAACTCACGCCGGGCGCATGTGCGTGTGTGTCCAAGATCCTGAGAGGAGAATGGAGGAGAAGGGATTGCGGCATGACCATCCCCCCTGGGGGGTGATTTCTCGCTTTCTGTCTCTCTGTCTCTCACTGTCTGGTGAGCGCAGGGGCCCTATAGCGAAAACCTCTCCAAAAAAAAAAAAAGAAAGAAAGAAAGAAACCAGTGAACACATTTAAGAAGAAATTTGCTTGCAATAGTACCATAATTGAGCACCCACAATATGGAGAAGTAATTCCACTACAGGGTGATCAGTATAAGAAGGTGTGCCAGTTTCTCTTAGAAACTGGACTGGCCAAGGGTGGTCAGCTCAAGGCTCAGGGCATTTTTTTTTTTTTTAGAATTATTTCATTTTACTTTATTTATTTTAATTTGACCAGAGAGGGACAGAGTGAGAGAGAGAGAGGTACAGTGAGAAAGCAAGCTGCCAGATCCGGACTTGAACCATGGTCGGCCATGTGGGAGTGCATGGGAGTGCATTAACTACCATGACACCTGCCATCCTTCAAGGTTCAAGGGTTTTTGTAGCTCACTGAAGCTTGAGGATTTTCTTGCAATGAGTAGAACTTCCCACCTGTCCCCTGTCACTAGTTTAAAAACCTCGCAGCTTGTATAATGTAACCATCTAGGATCTGCTTTTACCTTGAACTAGTCTAACTCCTCCATATAATAAAATGAAAAGAGCCAAGTTGTCTGTCTTAAAGTCCCTTATTTAAACAGAGGTCAAGGAATAAGCACCTGGCAATGTCCAGCTTGAAACAAAACAGTAATGTGATTCAGCCAAGTCCAAAGCCCCAAGACCACAGAGAGCTCTGTCCGGCCAGAGGCTCCTCAGCTCTCTCTCTGCAGTGTCCCCTGCCCTGAGAGAATGTCAGCACCTGAATAGCCCTCGGTGAATCTGAAAGGAGAAGATGGGGTAAGCAACGATGACAGCTGTACCACTTATAAAAGATCCCCTGACATCTTCTACTTGACTGGGTGGACAGAGCTTAAAGAGGCCACCTTCCATCTAGTGAGATGACAGGACATCTGACTTGCCATCATGTTCTTTTTGTCCAGACATATTTTATTGGATTGTTGGAAAACTTAGGATGCATTTTTGCATAGAAAAAAATATGTCACGACTTTTCTGATGACCCAATAAATTAAAGGATGTCCAAACAACAGAATATGAGACCAGCTTTCTATCACAGTTAAACTTTTGTTGAGGGAACAAGTTTCAAACTGATGTCTCAGTCATGAGCTAGCTCTAGAGCTTGCAGTGTCCTAGTGACAGCAACGAAGTTAATTCTGCTACTCTTATGGGTAGGATTTAGGGGACTGTGCAGGAGCGTTGGGGCTATAATGAAAACTTCTATGAGGTCAATTGGTGATACATAAATATGCAAAATTACTAAAAACATGCTTGAATTGAAATACAATCACCAATGTTTTGCAAGTAGTAAATATTCTACAAACAAATGGTACATTTTTTCCCCATAGGATGTGTGTGTACTCACTGGAGAGAGAGAAGAAAAGTGAGAAATCATTGCCCGGTCCCCCCCTCCCCCCCCGGGGATAGCCACGCTGTAATTCCTTTTCCTCCATTCTCCTCCTGGATTTTGGGCACACATGCACAGCTGGTGTGATTTTTAAGCCGTGGGGTCCAGGACTCAAACCATGGGTAACTGTGCATGAGTCAAGCACCTTAACCACCACACCACCTACTGACCCCACATATGGTGCATATTAAATGGGTGTTTCTGCAGTAAAAGACACCACCTTTGGGAAAACAGCACTTTTCCATATTAGAAGCAAGAGGTGTGTGACAATAATGGCAATGAAAGGGAACATGGGGGCCAGCAGCTGGCGTCAACAGCAGAGCGAATTTCAGTATTTTTCAAGTTTTTAAACATTTTTCTTTTTTAATGAGTAAAACCAAGACTCAGTCTGAAATATTGGTTTTGCCACGCCATCATCTTTATTACAATAGACACACATCTTGCATCAGGATAGTACATAAAAATAAGGGAGGCAAAAACATTTGAAGGAATTCCATTTATTGTGGATGCATTTTTCACAATGTATTTTTATTGCAGCAATCAGTTATCAGTGAAAAAATATCAAGTGTTTATAAAATGTTTAGGAATGGCAGATTCACAGAACGTGCTAGTCAGCTTGCAGTTTTATCTCTTAAAAAGAACAGAGAAATGTAATTGAACAAGTAAACAAAAGATTTATTTCTCAAAAGTTTAACCCCTATTGAACAAAAGTCTACCCTAAAACTTATTCCATCCAAATATTGGAATAAAAGTCAGGATCAATACATTTTCTTCTCAACTTTAGACTTTCTAGAAAAAAATATATAATAGCAATCAGGATAGTACTTGTTCAAAAGTACAAGGCAATGTTAACTCACTCTAACCCTAACTCAAACTTTGATCCATTTCACTCCAATGATGGGAGATGAAATTCTAGTTTATCTTATCATAGACTGCTGTCTACTCTGTCATGGGTGGATGAGTTTTTGTAATCTTGGTGGCTTTCTTTCTTTTGGCCCAGGCTTGTTAAAAGCTAGAGGATTCAACTACTATTTACTGATTTCTGAGAAAAATCGACTTTGGAAGGCAGTGGTCACTCCTCATTCCTACCCAGAATTCCTGTAGGAATACTGTAGATAAGAAAATAGTTATTTGGGAGGCTCCCTC